GCTGAGTGCGCGAGGCCGCCGCAGGCGGATGGGTGGAAGCCGGCGTGGTGGCCGCCGTAGATCTCGCTCACCAGTCGTTTCATCTCCTCCAGCGAATTGGTGAGCATGAGGATGTAGTTGCGCGCCAGCAGCAGCGTGGCGATTTTGGAGAGCTTGCGCACCGATGGGCCGTGAGCGTACGGCATGACCTCGCGCAGCCCGTCCATGGCGATGTTGAGGTCGTGCATCCGCTTGCGCTCGCGGCTGTTGATCTTGAGGCGTAGCTGTTGCAGCTCGGGCTCAGTCATCTGCTTCTTGTCCTTCTTGGTGGACGACGCAGCAGCTGACGACGTGGACGACGAAGTGCTGGACGAGGATGACTTGAAGCCGCCGCCGCCCAGCTTGTCCCCCGGGTGCGCGCCCGCTGCGCCCATGGCGCCGCGAAGCTCGGCGCTCAGCTCTGGCGGGCAATCGCTCGGCGTGGACGAGGATACAGTGCCCCCCGTGAAGCCGCTGCCCCCGCTGCCTTTGCTCCGGGCCGGCAGAAAAAGGTCATCAGGCTCTGGCGACGACGGGCGGCTAGACACCAAGCTGGCGTCCGAGTCCATGGCCCCAAGGGATAGTGGCAGCTTTCGCAGGGTCTTCCCTCTCTCGGGCCTCAGAGCTTCCACCGACGCCTACTGCGGAGAGGAGAAGAAACACGAGAGAGAGCGAGAGATCGAAATCGAGATTGAGATCGAGAGGCACTAGGAGAGTGAGAGAGAAAAGCTGCTCCCGCCTGCACCGCAGCGCGGGGTCCAGGCACTCTGGGTTCACCTCGCAGTCTCTGGCCTTCCTTCCTTCAGCATGCAGGTACGTTTAAGTAATCTCTTCCCCTCTCTACTGCCTCCTGTCCGCTCTCATCCACAGGTTGTTTAATCTAGGGAACATTGGCTACCCCTCAGTGAGGGTGGCATCTAGAGATTTTATGCTTTTTATTAAGAATGAGGAGACTGGATCTCCAGGGCTGGAATAAACGAGTGGCAAATAATGTTTTTTCTTTGGGAGGGATGGAGATATAAATAGAGAAGTATTTATTTTGTTCCTCAAACGCATCCACCTTATCTCCATTGACACCGCACAGCAAACACACGCACATAGACTGGCACTCAGCGCCCGCACGGGGCCCAGATTCCACGCGCTGCGTCCGGGGCCCGCAGAGGGCTCTCCATCCGACTGGGACTTAGGCAGAAAAAACTACTGTAGCCCTGACTTCTTGCTTTTGGTGGAAGGGGATGCTAAGTTGAGTATGGGGAGGGTCAAAGCAGCAAAGCCGCTTAGAAGAACTGGAGGGCAGCGGCGGGATCCAGGTCCCCTTACCAGAGCTTCCCGGGTCTCAGCCAAAGAGAGAGGCGTCTGTCCCTGGGATGTAGGCTCGGGTGGCTGGGGTTGCGGGGGGGAGGGGGGCGGGGACACTTACTGTGGATGCAATTAGAGGAGCTCTTTCCCAAAAGCTGCAACAGAGAACTGGGCCCCGGGCGCTGATGTCGCGTAGATCTATAATAAGCATCCGCACCTTTCCGGGCTCGGCGGGTTTTATAGCCCAGTGGCGGCGGCGACGGCGGCGGTGGCCGAGGCGGGGGCGGGAACATGTGCGGTCCTGGCGGCGCCAATGAGCTGGGCCGGGCCCGGGGGGCTGGGAAGCTGATGTCATCCGGGCTAATTCCGCTCAATGAAACTCGCGGGGCCGGGCACACGCCTCCTCCCCGCGCACAGCCAATGGGCGCCCGCGGCTGGGAGATTCTTGGGGAGGGACTGGAGGAAGGACCCCAAGAGGGCGTGTGAGAGGCGAGGGGGAGAAGGGCGGGCTTGCGGGTGGGAGGGGGTAGTTCAGAGGGCCTAACGCGGTTGGGACCGAGGGAGAGAGGGTACATTGTCAAATTTCTGTAAAAATACGGGACCACAAAGTCAGGCTGGGGGATGGGGTGGGCTGGGGGCTCTGCACACAAACTAACCTGATACCCAGATAACCCTGGCGACCCAGGAGCTGGGGCTGGGGCTGGGGCGAGTCTCCTTCCTTGCTTTTCCTCTCCCTGGGTTCTCGCCACCTGTTTCCATTTCATGGGTTTCATCAACACGTGTGCATTTTGAGCCCCAAATGTACGTGATAACCAGGCACAAAGCTCCTACTTTCTTCGCACTCCAAGCGCGCCTCTAGGAGGTGGCGGCTGCCGCAGCTCGGCCAGCGGCCGGTAGCGCCCCCAGCTGGGGGCAGGGCCTTGCGAAGAAGAAGGCGAGGAAGGAGGGAGGGGACAGACTCCAGAAAGGGGTTTCGAAAGAAATCACAACTCTTCATAGAAAAGTTGACAATGGTGTAGACACAGGGACGAGGTATTTCCTCAAAGTAACCGCACAACCACAAGAGGAAAGTCGAGCTTAGAGTTAAACACCCCCTCAGAGCTTGGGAACCAGATAACGGTATATTCTGCACCATCTTTGTGATGGTCACCGCGCCATGGGGTAGGGGGAAACGCTAGTTGATCTGCAAAAAGGAAGTCTCAAGCCTGGGCAACGATTTCACACCGTGGGCCAGACAACGAGATCCAACCACTCGCGTTTTACCACTCGCAGCCTGGCTCCCAAACCCAGAAATCCTTGCCATGAGGAATTAAACCTGGTCTGGAGAAGCGCCTAACTGAGGTAGTTCCGTGGTACTGACGCCTCCACCCCATTTTACAGATGGGAAGATCAAGGGACTGTGTCTGCAGCAAGCCTATGAGGAAAAAATTTTTTTAACCCTTTAAAGTGCAGCCCTGCCTGGACTGCAGATGCGGGTGTTGGTGATTCCTATATGGTAGAGACACTACCATCTCCCTAAACTTTAAGCTTTTCCCTAGTTGAATTTCTCACATCTGTACAAGTACAGAGATTTGTTTGCCGAGATCCCTGACGTTTGCCCTTTATACTGCAGACCCACAAACGCGCCCCTAGCCCTCTCTCCCACGGAGTGTTACGGTCCTCTGTTTACCTGCGTTGTTCGAGAACTTTTAATTTGGCTGTACCGCTTTTTAAAAACGCAAACAAATTAACTTAAGAAGTAATTCCCCTTAAAGTAGCAAAGTTATAAAAGGAAACAAATACAAAAAGAAACCCACGTTATGTTTCCCAGTCCCTGGGTAAGTCTCCCACCATCGTCTACACTAGAAAACCCAACGGGCTCTCCCCTTCGTCGCAGTCTCGTGCCTTCTGGGGCATTATTTTCCAGCCCGCGTGTTTCCCAGCTGGCTCTGCAGTCATCCGTTAAATATGTATTTAAAACATGAAGAACTGAAGCGTGGAGATGTGTCGTCCAACCGTTAGGAAGGATGACCCGTAACTGTTCAATTAGGAGAATCTCCCACTTGGAAGAACGCGGGGGAGGGGCAGGGGGAGTAGGACAAGCTCGGGTATTTAAGGATCATTCCTTTGGGCTTCCCTGGCCAACGGCCGTGAGGACATTGGTTGAGATGTGAGCTTTGGCCCAGCAGCCGGGGCGTGGACTTGTGAGCACGCGAGTGTATCTAATAAACACCAGCAAGCGCAACGAGTGCGCGCCTGGGCTGCAGCCGCTGGGGTTAGTGCGGTCCGCGGCACGTGTCCCGGAGCCCCAGTTCCTTCTTTTGTTTCTTGCCACCGGTGACTGTCTTGCGTCCGGCGGTCCGCGAAAGTACGCGGTTCTTTAAGCCCTTTCTCCAGAGGCTGGAGTTGGAAGCGGGGGCGAAGTCTGAAGGGCCCCTCCTGGCACGGAGCAAGTTTAGAGCCCGGGAAGGCAGAGTCCGAAGGCAAGAGAGCTGGCTTACTTGCAAGGTCCCCGCGTGGACACCCACAATGACGCTCCAGGCCCCAGCTCCGCGCCACCGAGCCCAGGCAGCGGTGACTGTTCTGGGGCCGTGCAGCGGCACCTCGCCGTCCTCACTCCCCACCCCCGGAGCTCGGGCAGTTAGCTCGGGGCTGTTGGCCCCTGCCCCCAGCATCCTTCCCAACGTCCTCAGAGTCGCCAGAAAGTTAGTTGCTCGGGAGGTGGGAGCAGTCCGTGTCCCCTGAACACTTCTCGCTGTGTCTCTGAGTCCTCCTACCCCAGGAATAATCGGAAACTAACTAGAGCTCAGCCGGGGCGCTTGCTTTCATGTGGGTCCGAGAGGCGTCCAGGCACTTGTGCAGGGCTTGCGCCTGGTGTGCGCATCCTGGGAGCGTCCCCGGCTCCCCGGTTCCCACCCGCGCCAGCGTCTGGGCCGCAGCCCCTTCCCGCGAAATTGAGCGCTCACTAGCCAAGGCTAATGGGCCCGGCTCCGCGAGTTCCTGGCTGGCCCAGGTGTCCTGAAACTGTCGGCCTCCTCCGTCAAAACGGAAGACGTGTTTTTCCCCTTCCTTTGTGTTTCCCTCCCACAAAAGGCCGGGTGCGTGTCAGGGCCGGCCTTTGCTCAGCCTCCTGGAGGCCCAGGAGGAACTTGTGCCAAACGGGCCTGGGCGGGCCCCCGCGGGGCTCCAAAGGCGCAGACCTCCCACTGCTTCCCGGGTCCCTCCGGGGCCATTCTTTCCCATTCTCGCCTTTTCCTTCTCGGAGTTCCTGCGCACATTCAGGCAGCTTCTCCTCCCGGCTGCCAAGGAGAGCGGCGTCCTAGCGCGGGGCGGGCCAGCGCTGGCGGAGGGAGGCAAGGCTCCCGAAAAGAAAGAAAAAGCATTTCAGCCATCGCTTCTGATCCAGAAACCAGAAATGCGGAATGTCAGCATTTGGCGCCCAAATCTGAGTGATAAGCCCGCTTGGAAGGCAGAACTCTGCAAACAAATGGCATCTGTCTTCCCTGAAAGACTCAGCTCCCTGAGTCGTCCAGGGTCACCCCTGTGTCTCGACGGGTCTCAGCGCCGAGATCAGGGCCTGATCAGGGTGCTTGGTAAATACTTCGGAATGCATACACGTGCAAATGTTCACGGGGGCTGGTGTGGAACCCAGCTGGTAAAATTCATGTAAATGTGAAAGGTGCGTGTATATTTCTTCTGTGTGCACAGGTTAAACCAGGAGGTTTCTACTCTGGGTTGCTGGCGATATGGGAGCCTGTAGAATGACAGGGATGGTGACTTCCACCTAATGACCACTTAGAGGTGACCCAGGCTCTGCCAGGCACTTAGTGGTTCTTGACAGACTTCATCTCATTTATTCTCTCACTGACTCTAGGAGGGAGGTATTACTTATTCCCATTTCACAGTCGGGGAAGCTGATGCTGAGAGAGATGTGGGCATTTGTTCAAGGTCCCCTGAGCAGAGGGGCAGGTCCAGGGAAGCAGCATGGTGCTGGAGGCAGCATGGCAGAGGGCATCAGAAACTTAGGGGTCTCCCATTGTCTACTTAGGTTTTCATTCCTCCAGCGTGTTTCTAGAAGCTACCTGTGACCTCTAAGGTTATGTCTGCTGCAAGATTTGAGGAGGGGGTGGGAGCACTGAATAATATCCTCCCTTTGCAATTTCTCTATTCTGCTAGTACTCGAGCTGTTTTAGTGACTGTGAGTCTTTGGGAATGGAGCCCCCCACCCCCACCCCTGTCCTGGCCTGGGCCAGGCTTGAGTGTCAGCAGAGACTGGGCCCAGTGAGAATCAAGGAGCAATGCCCAGGAGCTTGGGGGAAGGGGTGCTGCACCGCAGAAGCTAAAGGGAAACAAACAAAAAAGCAGCCAAATAAAACCCAAAACTGATAGCCCTTTCCCTCCAGTCAGTCCCTCCCTCTGGATCACCCCTGTCCATCAGGCCCATGATTGTCACCTGCTTCTAAGGATCCCTGCCATTGAAGTTAACATGTCCCCAAGTTTGCAGTGGAATACAGTTAGAATAGGACTGTTGGGTGACCCAGAACTAGCTTTGCAGATCTCAGCTTACAAACCATTATCTCATCCAAGCTCCACAACAGCCCTTTGGTGTTAAGAGGAAGGAATTTTTTTTTTTCTTATTTTACAGATGAAGATACTGAAGACTGAAGGGCAGGGCAGGGACTGAGTTCACCTCTAGCCCACTGGATCCCAAGTCCCAGGGCCTCAGTGGTTCCCTCCATCTCCCTGGGCTCTCTCCCTCCATCCTTGAGACACCAGGCCCCTACAGCTTACCTCTCCACTCCCCCTTTGAGATTAATCCTGAGGGCAGGGGATCAGGGTGAACAAAGAGGTTAATCCGGAGGGTTCATCCTGAGGTAAGGTGTGCTCCACTCAGACACAGGGGACGAGGAAGCCCCCCACCTGGTTTGGGGCTAAGACTTTACATAAGAGGAAGCAGCCAGCTTCTGAGGGCAGGAGAGACTCTTCTAGGCTGCAGGTGACAAAACCAGGCTGCCAGTTTCCAGAGGTGGGACTTGCATGTGCTCCCTGAACCAGGCACCACTTCGGGGTGGACTCGGTGGGAGAGCTGCATGCTAGGAGGGGGTGAAGCCTCTCACCTCCGTGTCCTAAGAGTGACTGCCTTTCGCTCTGCTCCAACCACCAGATGGGTAACCTGCGTTGTTATATTGGAAAATGTAACAGCCTGACGTTTCCTCATCACCTTCAGGATTGAGTCCAGAGCCCTTTAAATGCCAGCTCCCAGGTCCTGACCTGGCCTCTGCCAGCTACTCATCCTTTCCCCCCTCCCAACACCCC